CATGTCTGCCTGTGCTTTAAATGTGCCTTAAGTGTGCTTTAGACGTGTGGTGTCAATGTGACACTTATCATAAGGTGCTCCTCTAGACATAGCTGTCAACTTTTCCCTTTTCTTGCGAGGAATCCTATTCGGAATAAGGGAATTTCCCTTAAAAAAAGGGAAACGTTGACAGCTATGTCCTCTAGAACCTTGAAACTGGTCTCTAAACCGAAGATATTTGTGGATTTTTCATTAGAGCTATTTAGAGCGGGAGAGGTGGCAGAGTCTATGCACAATTTCACCCTCTGTGTAAATCCCTTTCTCCAAATCTCCAGGAAGCTTTTTGAAATTGGAGGAGTTTAGGAGCACCTTTTAAAAATAAAACTTAAGAGGATGAGGTTTAAGAAAAACAAGTTTTGCATCCACTCATGTGTTCCTTGGCATCCTGATTGTGGTCTTTAGCAAGAACATAACCAGTCTCCCCACCCTGCTTTTCATGTTCCACCTACTTTTATACAAATAAGGCGTTTTATCCCTTAAGGTATCTGAGGGATCTGCAAGTAAGCGTAACTTCCCCAAAATATGTGCATGATATGTGAAGCCAAAGATCTCTCTCTCTCTCTCTCTCACACACACACACACACACAACTTTTCTTTTAGTACAGCTGCATAATAGCTAATTTTTAAAGTAAATTGCATTTCCTTGGCTTTTGTAGACAGGGCGCCACAAGTAGGCTAATAAAGTTATAGTCTTAGGGTCTTGTATCTTTTAGACCAGCAGTTTCCCAGCTCAGCCACAAAGTTCACTGGGTGAACCTTACCTTTCCCACAAGGTTGTTGTGAGGATAGCATACATGAGGCCTCTTGAGTTCCTTGGAGGAATTATAATATTCATGACTTTGCCGCAGCCAAAGCTAGGATTGTTTTTTTTTAAAGAAATTAGCATAGCACATGATTTATGTTTTATTTTAAAAAAAAATTAAGAGCAGAATACATTCATTAATTTCAGAATTAATTTTTTTTTATTTAGTTAAACAATTTATATTTAGCTTAATTACAATAGCATCTAAGTAGCTTATAAAGGTACAACAATATGTTTGGAGTTTGTGTGTGTGTGAATATATGGTACATACTACTTAGAGGCAATGTGATGTGGCAGTTAGAGTGCAGGATTAGGACCTGCACAGACAATCTGTGGGATGTCCTGGGCTGACATTTTACATACCACTCGGTATGAGGACTGAAAGAAAATTTCACACACCAAAAGTCAGTTTGGCAAAGTTTCCTGCTGTATCTCTCCGGTAGTAGCATCCGGAGTTGAAAAGATTAAAAACAATTGAATCAAGAAAATACAAAAATACGCATTTCTGAAAGCAAATTCTAGTTAGGAGATTCTGCTTCAGAATCTCTCACTTCTACCCAAATTGGTTCTGTTCTCATTGGAAAGCAAACTAGACACGTTTATTTTCGAGCGTTCTGCAAATACCCATCTACAAAAAAGTGAGCTTACAGCTCCACCTAGTGTTTGCAATTGGAAAACCAAACGCAAAGTACCCTCGTAGAAGTGGTTTGCTAATTGGATGACACCTTATCACCAGAGGTGTGATTCAGCCCAGCCCTGATGCTTTAGAGGTGAGTTGTGATTGAGCCTCTGCTGCTGCCCCAACTTGGAGAAGAAGATGGGTTAAAGGAGGGCTGGGGAACCTGTAGTGGCTAAAATAACCACCATCCCTAATCACTGGCCATTTCCCATTGGCGATGGGGGAAAAGCACTTCTGCATGCACTGCAGAGCAGTTAAACTACGGAACTCACTCCCACAGGAGAAAGGGGTGGCCACAGAGCTGGATGGCTTTACAAGAGGATTAGACACATTCAGTGAGAGGGCTATCAATAGTTACTAGCCGTGATGGCTGCAGTAATGATTCTGAATATCAGTTATTGGAAGCCACATGAGTGAAGAGAGCTCTTGTGCTCTGATCTTGCTGGTTGTGATGGCCTGGGACTTGGGCTCGGACTAGGAACCAGAGGAGCCTCAGTCCGCACCGGATCCTTTGCCTCAGGCATCATCTGAACCAAGTCTGGGGCCTGATCCTGAAGAGTCCCAGTCTGCACAGGTTCCTCTGCAATAAACCCCAGCTGGGCCGAGTCAGGGGCCTGAGCCTGCCCTGGCTCCGGATGCAGGGATTACCTCGTTGCCTTCAGCTGGGCCATCACTTACAGCTGCTCCACTACCAGTTGGGTTAGGAGAGGCTGAGGCGGCCCCTGGGTCTAGTAACCCACCGACATCTCCTGAGCTGCAGAGACTGAGGTCTGAGAGAAAGAGAGACCTGAGTACTCGCAGGAGGAGTGCTCGCCTTCAGGCGAGACAGGGTGGTGAGTCACCGGGGGAACAGGACCAGCCGTTACCCCGTCAGAGTTAAAAGGCTTCTGGACCCCACCCCAGGTTGCGGGAGCAACATTGCTGTATGCCAGATCCTGCCTGAGACCCTGTGCCTGACCTTGCCTGGTTTCCTGCCTTGGCCCTGTCGGAGTGACTCCTCACAGAACCCTTGGATTTGGGACCGGACCTGGACTGCGTTACTCGGGTTACCCCCAGGCCCAGCACACTGGTTTCCCACAAGCCACTGTGAGAACAGGATGCTGGAATAGATGCACACTGGCCTGATCCAGCAAGCTCTTCTTTTGTTCTTAATGCAGTCGGTCCCCAATCCCTGGGCTAAGGAGACCTTTTGAAATGAGGGTGTTTGCCATCCCTAGGACCATCTGTGGACTTAGTGCGTGCACAAGCAAGCCCCAAATGTCCTGATCTCTTCCAGTGAGCCCTGTGGTTTTCCATTCCTCCAAATGTTTCCCCAAAGAAGTGAATTGCATCTAGAAATAACACAGCACACTGGAAAAAAACCCTACATCTTTATTTTGGAAATAATTTTTATTTGATTTTCCAAGTATAAAATAATAATACAACCATACACATCCACATTTACAGATTCCTCTGAATCTCTGGGCTTCCCACCTCCCCTCCATAGCTCCTATTATTAGATCTTTTCCCATAATCTATATTTTATATTACTCCATTGTCTCCATAGTACTTGCTACATTACAAGTGTTATTGCTAATATTTTCATCTGCTTACAGTGGTCTCCAAGATAAATTATTTTAAAAAATCCCATTCTTTGTTGAAGTTGCTGAAATGGCAAAACTGACTGAAAAGCTCAGGAACCAAGAAGACCAAAACAAAAAAACACCTACATCTTTATTTCAAATATATATCAATATTTCAGCAGACATTTCATTCAGTAGCAGCACGCATGGCTACCTGATGATTAAACAGCACATTTTAAAGTACATTTATCTATTAAAAACTGGATACTGCCTTTCCAGGCAAGGTGCGCAATAAAAAAAGACAATTCACAAAACAGAAAAATGAAATAATAATTAATAGTCAGGGCAGTGCTATCATGAAGCAGCATATCTGAAAACTGAAGTTTTAACTACAAAGCTACAGCATGTCAAAAACAAAAACAACACATCAAATAAAATTACTAAGTCAAAATAAGGATTGAAAAATCTTGAAAAGCTTTAAAAGTCAGAGATGGGGAACCAGCAGCCCTCCAACTCCAACTCCCATCATCCTAGCTGTGCTTTAAGGTTTTATGCAGGGGTCAGCAAACTTTTTCAGCAGGAGGCCAGTCCACTGTCCCTCAGACCTTGTCAGGGGCCAGACTATATTTTGAAAAAAAGAAGAATGAATTCCTATCCCCCACAAATAACCCTGAGATGCATTTTAAATAAAAGGACACATTCTACTCATTTAAAACCCGCTGAATCCCGGACAGTCCGTGAGCCGGATTTAGAAGGCGATTGGGCCGGATCTGGCCCCCCGGGCCTTAGTTTGCCTACCCATGGTTTTAAGTCTCTGAGAGGATATCCCAGAGACGCAACAGGCAGGGCTGGCCCAATACATGTTTGGCATGTGAGGTGGACCCCAAAATGGTGCCTCCTCCCCACCAGGGAAGAAGGGGAAAGGGAAGCTGTACATCAGGAACAAGAGGGGAAGTTCAACAGCAGGACCTGCTGTCCCTGTGGATTCTGCCGCTGTGGTGGTGACCTCAGCTTGCCACATGGGTAGGCCAGCCCTGGCAATAGGATACAGCTAATCTCCCTCTCCATGGCTAAAAAGTCCAGGGCCAGAGAGGGAGCCCACCTTCCTCTGCTGGTGCATTGATGACACAGTTGAGGAAGAAGAGTTTGGATTTGATATCCCGCTTTATCACTACCCGAAGGAGTCTCAAAGCAGCTAACATTCTCCTTTCCCTTCCTCCCCCACAAAACACTCTGTGAGGTGAGTGAGGCTGAGAGACTTCAGAGAAGTGTGACTGGCCCAAGGTCACCCAGCAGCTGCATGTGGAGGAGCGGAGACGCGAACCCGGTTCCCCAGATTACGAGACTACCGCTCTTAACCACTACACCACTATACCAGATCCAGAGTCCCCTCGTTCCCCTGGCAAGGCCTCAGAATGGCAACGAAACCATGCCAGTGCTGGCTTGGAGAATTTCCCTCTGACGAGAACCAGAATTACCCAGGGGGAAACTGTCAACCCACCGGCCCAGCTTCTGCCATGGTTTGCACAATCTTGGCAGGGCTTAGATATGGCAGCTCCTCTGTCATGGATTTCCCATTTCCTAAAATGGTATAGTTGTTCTGACCATGTAACCTGGGTGTAAGCAACACCAATGAGAGTTAAATTTGCCAAGCCACACAAAGTCTATGAAGAAAGCCTTCGTTTCATCTGGATCACATGAAATTCAAATACCCAATGATGGAAATAAGGTGAAGACCTTACAGAGGAAGCCCCTGCTCACAAAAAAGGGGGTGGAGAGCCCATGGCACCCACCCAAAAATCAAAATGTGCCAACCAGGTTGGCCACCCCTGACATATATTAGAGAGTCTGCCTACAGCAATGCTGCTTAGGATGTGGTGCAGGGGTCTGAATGTCCCGATCCAAGCTTTTTTGAATTATTAGCACAGCTAAGTGTTAAGATAATGCCACTATACATTCATGTCTGGAGGCTCTGATGACAAAGAACTTCAACTCTCTACATCTGCTCTAAGCACAACCAAACAACAATGGGAATGTTTGACTTCAGTTACATTCGTGAAAGGAAAGAGTTTCATTTCCTAACCACAGCCCCTGGAGGCTGCAGACACACCAGAGAACCCCTGGTTCAAAACAGTGCTTGTGAAAAGTGTGCTCTCGCCTTGACCCAGATTCCTGAAAGGGGAGGAAAATCTCATTTCAAAAGCAAAAGTTGGATCATAGAAATGAGCACGAGAAATTCAGGGGCAGGAGCAGCAAATCTGGCCTCTTTAGCGAAGGCAAAAAAAACCTCTCTTTCAATACACTCAGCTTATATGCCTTTTTATATAAAATAATGCATCAGTCTTATTTCTCCCTTGCAGCATCTGCATCCAGAGTAGGAATGGTGAATTGAAGCGATTCAGCTTCTCTTATCCCATGTGAACCGGGATATGTGGCTTTGGACTCGATACGTGTTCAGAAATCCCACTCTTCCCCATTGGACATGCCTATAATTTAGGATGGGAACATAATGAATTGCCATTATTATTATTATCAGCAGTAACAGAAATAGTAGCAGTAATTACAACTCCACAATACTTTCTGGTATGCACGGTGGTTTACAAATCCCATTTAGTTTACTGAGATGTAGGTAAAATAGTACAAGCAACAAAGAGGAGTTAATTTCATGCCTGAAGAGAATGCTAGTCGGCCCATGCTGACTCCACCCACAACATCCCAGTCCCTTCCGGTTCCTCCCCTGAACTTCCTGTGTGGGATTCCAGTTGTGTTTGGCTGAAGAGGGCTAGTGCAAGGGTGGCAAACCCTTTTCAGCCTGAGAGCCACATTCCCTCACAGACCACCTTCTGGGGGCCACATACCAGTGGTGGTTGGAGCCAGAGGTAAACTGTGGGTGGAGCAACAAATGTGACTCTTACCATTGTTCTATAGCAGGCATCCCCAAACTCAGCCCTCCAGCTGTTTTGGGAGTGGGACCACAGTTCCCATCATCCCTGACCACTGGTCCTGTTAGCTAGGGATGATGGGAGTTGTAGTCCCAAAACAGCTGGAGGGCCAAATTTGGGGATGCCTGTGTTACGATATTCCATTCCACCTTAACAGATATGTGGAGTTGTTGTATGTCACATGTCTGTTTACATTCCAGCACAGCTTGCTGGGAACTTCCGTTGTGTGTATAGCTTTTGCTTATGCTGTTTGCTTGGACACGAAGGGGAGAAGACATGTTCTTCCCTTTGTCCTGATGCTGAATAAAATGCCTGTAAATACGCTTTACACAGCCTCTATCTGCCCTTCTGTTGCGAAGAGTTTACTCTGCTGGCTTGCGTGCTCAGAATCTGAAGGTTTCTGAGGCTTGAGTCGTAGTTATATGCTGATCCAAGGACCGGAGATCGCCCGGCTGCGGGCCGGTGGGCTGGAGCCAGCTGGGGGCCTGCCAATTGCCCCTGTTTCCTTGGACGCATCCCAACAGCCTGTTCTATAGGCTACATTCCCATCACAGAAAAGCCAGCAGTTTCTAGGCCCTCCACAGTGGAAGCAGATCCATGAGGGTGTATGCAACAACCTCAGCTGGCCCTCAGCCAAACCCCATCGGCCTTCCTCACTTGCAACCAGTCGGTGGGTGAATGGGGCTGTCACTGGCTCAGATTCCACCTGCTGCTGGTCTCTCTGCTTCTGTACCTCCAGTGCCAGTGGATAGCAGCAGTGGAGGGCTCTGGGCTCTCACATTTCAGTGGCGCCCTGTGAGACACTAAAATTTGCCCTCCCCTCCTCTCACGCTCCATTCTACAGCATTGTTGTGGTGCTCCCTGCAGCACGGCACCCAGTGCAGCCGAACTGGTCGCGCCACCTTAGAACCACCTCTGACACCGGACTCCACAGACTCTCTAAGCAGACAAGCGAGAGGCACAATCATAGGCAGAAACACTCAAAAGTAGGACATTGAGAAGTTGAGTGAGTGAGGTGGAGGCACAGTCAAAGAGAGGCCTGGAAGCCAGACAAAGAGGTGAGGTTTCGCACACCTGTGCAGGAGTCTCACATTTCTGCAGTGCTCTCCTGAAAACACTCAATAATATATTTGCCAAAAATGCTGTGCACACACTCTCTCTCTCTCAACAGCTGAGAAGAACGCCAGAATCATGATGACATTCTGGAGATCTCCCTGGGGGGAAACAACAGACGGTTCTTTCTGAAGATTAGAGCGAGCAGCTGGGGACATCATTCACAGGCCCTTGCCATGGGTGCTATTAATAGGTTTTAAACCACCACCCCCTAAAACAAAAAGCAAAAGGGGGAAAAAGAGAAGAAAAATGTTCTTGTTTGCAAATCTTACTTACTGCTCCTTCTCCCTCAGCCAGCTGGCAGGCCAGGAGGGAAAGCAGCTGTGAAAAGGATGGTCTTTTTCTGGAGTCCAGAGCCCAGCAGGAACACAGCATTAAATATCTGCAAAGACAACAACCAAACCAGAGGGGGGAGGGATATGAAATGATTTCCCAAAGCATTTTCCATGGGAAAGTCAGGCAACTGGGATATGAACGTGTCCCAAAATACAAGTACGCCTGGGCTTCTAAAAGATCCTAGGATCAAAAGAACTTCACCTGCAGCCCAGACTCAAGGCGCTTCGTTAAGACAACACCCCAAAGCAGGAAAACTGTTCAGTTAATGTGCCTGCTTTAACATCTCCACCATGTTATCAATAAGCTTGTTTGGCCGTCTCATATACAGTATTTGAGAATCTCGTGGCACCTGTCTGAAGCGATGCTCTCAAGCAGATCTTGCAAACATTTATGTGGCTTCAGTCCCACATCCATTATCCAAAACACTCCAAAACTGGATATGTTGGTTTAAGTTCTAAGCAGCTCTCCACCACGGCTGGGGCTAGGACAAGGGGGCAATTCACAAAGGGCAATTCAATAAGGTGAAATGATGTCCGCACTGCATTATCAGCGCATGTATACCAACGGTACAAACAGGGAAAGCAGATTGAGGTGTGTGTGTGTGTGTCCCAGAATGTGCAATGCAGGTCAGTTTTTTTGACTCCTGTTCCCTTAACTTGCATATCCAGCATTTATGCCTTTTTAGTTGTTTCTAACAGTAGCCAGCATGTGGAACTAGTGAGATGATCATAGATACTGGTAGTCCTGAAGAATAATAAATTAGAAGCACAAGGAAGGTAGGAAGGGGGAAATGTACCATAGCATCCCTAAATTGTGCCTGGGCAGAATCCTGCCCCTCCCCAGCCCTCGGTATTCATACCCCATGCTTACATTTCTTCTGTAGCATAGAACGGACAGTCCATTTTGAATCCACTTTGAATTAGTTTGTAGAAGTTTGCATCCACTTGTATTCCAGGGTAAGGATTGACACCTAAAACAGAAAGATGGGAGAAGTGAAGAGTGAAAAAGTGGATGTTGAAAAACAGGCTTGCCGCACCCTTCTTCACACAATTCATGACTGCATATACACTGTACATTTAAAGCAAACAGCTCCCCCCCCCCAAATCTTGGGATCTGCGGTTTACCCCTCCTAGAGCTATAATTCCTAATGCCCCAACAAACTGTAGTTCCCAATATTCTTTGGAGGAAAGTCATGTGCTTAAAATTATGGTGTCCTGTATGTAGCCTAATGCACCCACATCATTGAGTTCATTTCTCCATATTTCCACATCAGTTTTGTTATTTAAAAACAACTTGTGAAGATTAATCGGCATATCAGTGCCAATTTCTCCTAATGTGCACATTTTTGTATCCAATTTCCCCTAACACAGACATTTTTGGAAAGCATACTTCCCCTAATATAATGTATTCTGTAAGTTATTTTCCTGCACACTTTATCCTAGTAGAGTGATTCCCAAACCTCCCCACCTCCCGAAGACCACTTGAACACTGCTGAGGCTTTGCGGGGGGCGGGTGGGTGGGACTTAATGATTTTCCTGCCTATTATAACAATTGTAATGCATGGTGCTGAATGCTATACAATTTTTAATTGGAGTTTTATTGCTTTTATTTCATATGTTGTATTTTATTGAATTCCAATTCAAATTGTAATACTGTACAATAAAATACAATGTAAGAAATAAGAGAAGCAATAAAAATACAATTAAAAATCCACATGCACCATTAATACAATGGATGTTCCATTTCCAGTCTTCAACCACAAATTCACAGGTGTGCTGTGGACGGCTTGAATGAAGATTGTGGACCTGAAGGAGCGTATCCACCCCCATCGTTCAGCCTGGACACTGAGGTCCAGCGCCGAGGCTCTTCTGGCGGTTCCCTCACTGAGAGAAGCCAAGTTACAGGGAACCAGGCAGAGGGCCTTCTCAGTAGTGGCACCCGCCCTGTGGAATGCCCTCCCACCAGATGTCAAAGAGAAAAACAACTACCAGACTTTTAGAAGACATCTGAAGGCAGCCCTGTTTAGGGAAGATTTTAATGTTTAGCAGACCATTGTATTTTAATATTTTGTTGGAAGCCGCCCAGAGTGGCTGGGGAAACGCAGCCAGATGGGCGGGGTATAAATAATAAATTATTATTATTATTATTATTACCACTGTCTGTGAACCCCCACCTTAGTATATGCATTTCTGAAAACATTACCTGGCTAGAAAATTTCAGAGATTTTGAAGGATGGCTGTTTTTAGCATATTGCTTTGGAAAGTGTCAGTGAGGCAAGTCCACATTTAATGCAAACTGAACCAAATTTTTCTGCCACCCCTTGTTTCTGGGCCCTCCTTAATGCTGAAGTAGGCAACTTAATCCAGAACATACCAAGAGAGAATATTTCCCACAGTAAGATTCCGTAAGACCAGACATCACTCTTAATAGTATAAATCCCTTGAAACAAGCTTTCAGGAGACATCCACTTAACAGGTAAACAAGCCTGTAGGAAGAGGAAAGGGGAGAAAATCATTTCTGCACTGATACTCCACACATCAGAGGAAAAAGAAGAAATACTGTGCAAAGTCTAGCAATTAGTATGCACGGACTTCATTTTTAGAGGAATATCTGCTTGGGAACAGGGTGGTTGTGGCCTTTGAGGGAGCACATGCAAAGCATAGTGGAACTAGAGTAGGAACTAGGATTTTCACATGATGTTACTGAAGCTGCTCTTGTTTGTAGCACCTAAAAACAGTTAACCAGGGCTGCTTCAGACTTGATTGATTCCATATATGAAAAGTTTCTCAAGCATGTCTTCCCACTGTGTGTGAACACACAGTGAAATATCTTTGTGTGTGTGTGACAAGCTACACTGAGGATTTAGTGTTTACTGCAAGGAAGCACTTTCTGGGTGAAGGTGCCCTCAGACAGATGGCTTTATGCAGCCTCCAGCTTCAAAGACATCATGCTACTGAATATAAGCTGCTGTTGGACAAGGACAGGAGAAGAAGGCTATTGCCTTCATGTCCTGGTTACAGGCTTACTGGAGGCATCTGCAGGAAACAGGAAATGGGATTTATAGGCAGTTAGTCTAATAGAGCAGGGGTCCCTTTCATAATAAAGTTAGAAAGAAAGCAGATATGTGTGTTCTAGCAAACCCAGCAAGGGAATCTGTAATTACAAAGAGGCTTTGGCACACAGATTGCCATTCTAGATCACAATCTGTGTGTGCAAAGGAGTCCATCCAGCCACCTGAAGTTGAGGCGTGTGTGTGTGTGTGTGAATAAAGAGGTGTTTTTCCTCCCTTTCATAATACAGTGGTACCTCGGGTTACATACGCTTCAGGTTACATACACTTCAGGTTACAGACTCTGCTAACCCAGAAATAGTGCTTCAGGTTAAGAACTTTGCTTCAGGATGAGAACAGAAATCATGCTCCAGCGGCACGGCCGCAGTGGGAGGCCCCATTAGCTAAAGTGGTGCTTCAGGTTAAGAACAGTTTCAGGTTAAGTACAGACCTCCGTGACGAATTAAGTACTTAACCCGAGGTACCACTGTACCAGAATCTGGGGTCATCTAAGGAAGTTGAATGATGGAAGGTATCCAGAAAAAGAAAAGGAAGTACTGTATTTCTTCACACAGCATATAGGGTGGTTGGGGGTGTGTTTTTTGGCAAAATTGTTTTTATTGATTTTCCAAATTTAAACAAATCAACCACAAATTAGAGCAAATTTAATACAATTTTTCAAAAAATTGGCTTCCCACACTGCTTTCCATATGTCCATAGTTTCCTCTTGTCGCTGCGTTGTTTTCTAATTCACATTCCATTCCTTACATTTAACCTTATATTGCAATATTTTTGGAGGGATTATTTCTAACTTATAATTCTTAACCATCAGCTTATCCACTTGCCAATTCCTGCATGTACACACAGCACACAGTTAAGCTATGTTAAATTCATTGCCACGGGAGGTCATTAGAGTCGCCAAGTTAAATGGCTTTGAAGGAGGATAAAGACAAATTCATGGAGAATAAGGCTAGTGAAGGTTACTAGCCATGATGGCTGTGCACTACTCTCCAGTATAAGAACTGGTGTGTTTCTGAATACCAGTTGCACAAGTGGGGAGATTCCTACTGGGCATCTGGTTGGCTATTGTAAGAACAAGATGCTGGACTAGATGGGCTTTTGGCCTGATCTGGAAGGGCTATTTTTATATTCTTACGGTTAGTACTACTGCGTTGTTATTATGATTAGCATAAAGCTATGAAAAGAGTCTGCCAAAAGCATCTACTTACATTCCCTCGGACAACATAGTTTGAATCATTCTCTATGTCCCTCGCAAGTCCAAAGTCACAGATTTTTGCCACTTTCCCGTGAGTGACAAGAATATTCCTGGCAGCGAGATCCCTGTGAACACACTGTCAAGGGAGAATGGTGTGAGTTTGCTTCACGCCCTGTTTCACAACGGCCAAAGAACAACAGTTAAGTCCCAGGTTGTTTCCAAGCCAACACCTTTCGCAGCTGAAATCATATGCCAAAATAGGGACACTTGGAGGGTTTGTAAGCATGTGCTTATTTTGCTTAATGGTTTGTCCAGCCCTGCCTATGGCCTAGGATGATGGGAGGTAGAATCAAATAACGTCTGGAGGGCCCTATCCCCGGTGTAGACCACATTGAACTAGATAGACCAACAGTCTGGCTTGGTGTAAAGGAGCTTTCTCTGCTCCAGTGTTCTCATCTGGAGGCCCCTGTTTCCCTGTTCATGGTCTATGCGGTGCTTCCCCTCTCCAGCACTTGAAGGGCACACATCCTCTTTTTTAAAACAACAACAACCAAAAGTGGGTGAGCCTACGAGCAATAAATCTTAGAAAGAAGGAACTGAAAGATAACGCCGGTCAGTTCACTGAAAGTTTTATGTGCTGGAGGGAAATTGTATGAAATACTGTAATACCGATAGCCACATTTCACTTGATGGAAGTGAAGATTGCTGGCTGACCCTCCAAAAAGATGAGCGATGCACCATTTATCTCTGACATGCTCTTTTGAGAGTGGCACTGTCTGGGCAAGCACACCTGCTGCTCCTCCTGAAGGGCACTATCCCCCTTGTTTGGCATAAGACTTACATACGCAAAAGGAAGAGTATTTTGACCTGACCCCATGTTAAAGGCAGAAATTCATTTCCTATCCCAATGATATATAAACACTGGGCACCAAAATTCAGAACAGAGTTCAAATGGTTCCCATATAGCATTGCATCATTACTGCAGAATCAAAGATAGTCTTTAATGACTGCCAAATAGATATACTCCAGCAGAATAATTATTTGTTGCTCCCCTGTTGGGGGCTACAGCTAGTGAGCTACAGGAAGGGCCACACAGCTCAGTAGCAGAGCACATACTCTGCATACAAAAGGTCCCAACCCATAGCCAGGGCTGGATTTAGATTTGATGAGGCCCTAAGCTATGCGGGTGGCACTGTGGGTTAAACCACAGAGCCTAGGACTTGCCGATCAGAAGGTTGGTGGTTCGAATCCCCGTGACGGGGTGAGCGCCCATTGCTTGGTCCCTGCTCCTGCCAACCTAGCAGTTCGAAAGCACGTCAAAGTGCAAGTAGATAAAGAGGTACTACTCCAGCGGGAAGGTAAACGGCATTTCTGTGCACTGCTCTGGTTCGCCAGAAGCGGCTTAGTCATGCTGGCCACATGACCCAGAAGCTGTACACTGGCTCCCTTGGCCAATAAAGCAAGATGAGCGCCGCAACCCCAGAGTCGGCCACGACTGGACCTAATGGTCAGGGGTCCCTTTACCTTTAAGCTACTGAAGGTAATGGAGCCCTTTATATGTCCAGCTGCCCTTTGTCAACAACAAATTGTCATTGTTTTTGTGTTGAATATATGCTATATGGTAATTTATGGCCCTAACACGTATCTAAAACCAGTGATATTTTAGGGAGCAGGCTAGCAGGCGGGGCCCGTTACGCAGCATCTCCAGCTACTCTTGTCTGAAACTTTGGAGAGCTACTGCCAGTTGGTGTAGACAACACTGAGTTAGACACATTCCAAGTCTGATTAACTCTTGGAAATCCCACCTAAAGGCACCCGTCTTTGCACCCCATAATCCCACAGTCCTTGTCCAGCAAAACCTCTGTGATGGCCAGGAAATGCTTGCTCTTCTTCCCTTCTTTTTGGAATTACTTTGCCCTTGAGGATTTTTGCTCCCCCCATTCTTTGACATGTTTTAGGCAGACAACAGCAGAAGGACAGGTAAATACCTCCATCTTCCTTCTCTCTCATTACATCAATGTTCCAACTTCCAACACTCCCTCCCCCTTTCCCCACAAACACTGGAGCATCATCACACAGCTGTTCTTGGTTCCCTGGCATCTCATCTCCCCATCTAGACCTCCTGTCCTCCTGCCTCCTTCAGAAATTCAGTTTACATTTTGCCTTTTGTTTTACCTCATTTAGAAAACCTTCTTTCTTTGGAAGAGCACTGGCTTTGGCCTTCTCAGTCCCTCTTGGGGAGCTTAATAGAGCATTCTGCTACCTAGACCAAATGTTAGTCACACTGTGTTCTTGTGTATTTGGTAAAATATGCTAGTTTCTGAGCCAGCTCTGCTGAACTGGCAGCAGTGTTCCTTTGGCAGAGAAGAGTCACGGCAGCAGAGAGAAGAGGTTCCACTCAATTCCCCTCTAGCCATTTGCGTTCCAGAGAGATGCATCATAAGTAACTATGGCAACGACCAGGACTGACCTAAAACATTCTGATGCCTGAAGCAAAGGGCAAGAAAGCACCCTTATTCCATGTGAAGAAGCTGATTAGACTGGCGATGGGACAGTAACCTCCTGAGGGCAGCAGTCTTCCTTAGAGGACATAAGGCAGGCTTTATGAACAACATGAAACTGTCCTCCAACATCTCGCCAGCATTCCCTGCTTCACAGCATCTGCCACCTGAGGCAATCATCTCAGTCTGCCTAATGTTGGGGCTGGTCCTAATATTTACACACACCCCAGAAAAACATATTTCTCTCGTAAAAGTCCATTTCTAATTAAGTATTTTTATTTTTATTTTTGTAGTTCTGAGCTGGAACATCCAGCTGGAGTGGAGAGGAAGTAATAGGATTTGGACCACTGTATGCATTTTTGTTCTCTTTATCATCTGAACAAATTTTCACACATCATGCTTACTGATTTTGATTCCAGAAACTCCATTCCTTTGGCAACTTGATATGCAAAGGAGAGAAGGTCTTCAAAGGTCAGCACATTGAGGTCCTCTTCATCATCTATTCCCCTGTTCACATATTTCATTCCTTCTACAAGTGAAAAACAATGGCAAGAGCTTTATTTCGCTAAGGCTTGAGTTTCTGTTACTAGCATTGTTCGCCAAAAGACTAAATTACTTCAGACCATTTTTAAAAAAAACCCACAATTACAACCCAAAAGGAGACTTTGATTTCTTACCTTCCTCAGCAAGCAGGGCAATTCTGCACAATTTAGAGGCCAAATCTAAGTCTTTTTTTGCAGATGTGTTTCCAAAGTCATCCTTTGGAATATATGATCCATTTCTTAGTATATATTCATTTCTGAAAAAGATTTTTTTTAAGAAAAAGGGATTTCTATAGGAAAAATGACATCCATAAGAATGAACACAAATAAATAGAATGAACCCCAAATAAATAGAAATTAAAATCTGCGTAAACACATTGTTATTTTTTTTAAAAAGAAGCATTTGGATGGTGTTGTGCTTAGAATTTTTCACTTGCAGAATTCATCACGATAGCATGCATTCAATTTAAACAGCAGAGTCTTTGAAAGAGGATTTGTGACAGTTTCAGCTTGATCAGGTGCAATACACAGCAGAAATGAAAGAAGTCAATCTCTTGTGGCTTTTCCATGCAGATGTGGTTCTCAAACTATATCATATAGGGACCTTACCTGGGTAAGGTAATTGAGACAGCGGTTGTCGAACAGCTTGGTAGGTTTCTGGATGAAACATCAGCTCTGGATTCATTTCAGTCCGGTTTTCGCCCTGGTTACAGGACCGAGACAGCTTTGGTCGCCCTAACAGATGATTTCCGTAGACAGCTGGATCAAGGCGGGTCTGGACTGCTGATTCTTTTAGATCTGTCAGCAGCCTTCGACATGGTCAATCATGAACTTTTGGACCACCGCCTTGCTGACGTGGGGATTCAGGGCATAGTCCAACAATGGCTGCGCTCCTTTATCTCAGGTCGGGGATAGAGGGTGGCGCTAGGGAGAGAGTTGTCGCCACGGCACTCCTTGGTGTGTGGAGTCCCGCAGGGTGCGATCCTTTCCCCAATGCTTTTTAATATCTTTATACGCCGCCTTGCCCAGATTGCTGGGAGCTTTGGGCTGGGTTGTCATCAATATGCAGATGACGCCCAACTTTATCTGTTGATGGACAGCTGCCCTGACTCAGCCCCAGACACACTGACCAGATGCTTGGAAGCTGTGGCTGGAAGGCTGTGTGGGAGCCAGTTGAAGTTAAATCCTTCGAAGACAGAGGTCCTCTGGCTGGGTCGGGACGACATGGGGTTGGGGGACCAACTCCCATCTCTTGCAGGGGCTCAGTTAGTGCCAGCGCCTTCTGTCAAGAGCTTGGGTGTAACCTTTGACGCCTCCCTTTCCATGGAGGCACAGGTTGCAGCCACAGCAAAGGTGGCATTTTTCCATCTCCACCGTATTAAGCAGTTGGTCTCTTACCTTTCTTGCCCAGATGTGGCCACATTGGTCCATGCGACAGTCATCTCCAGGCTTGATTATTGTAACTCGCTCTACGTGGGGCTGCCCTTGAAGCTGACCCAGAAACTCCAGCGGGTGCAGAATGTCGCAGCGAGGTTCCTTATAGGGTCCTTGCCACGGGATCACATTCACCAGTGCTTTACCAACTGCACTGGCTCCCGGTGGAGTACAGGGTCAGGTTTAAGGTGCCGGTTTTGACCTTTAAAGCCCCATGCGGCCTAGGACCCACGTACCTATGGGACCGCCTCTCCTGGTATGCCCCATGGAGGAACTTAAGGTCCACAAATGACAACACTTTGGAGGTCCCAAGTCACAAGGTGGTTAGATTGGTCTCAACTAGGGCCAGGGCCTTTTTAGTACTGGCTCCAAATTGGTGGAACGCTCCGTCACAAGAGATCAGGGCCCTGTGGGACTTCACATCTTTCCGCAGGGCCTGCAAGACAGAGCTGTTCCACCTGGCCTTTGGTTTGGACTCAGTCTGACCCTTATGTTTCCCTCCCCTTATGGTTTTGATCTATGGGCTACTATTAAAATGAGGCTGCATTTTAAATTGTATTTTAACCCGTATTTTAAATTGGTTTTTTCCCTTTTTCTCCACCCCCCATTATGTTTTTATTATATTTTTACTGGTGTTAGCCACCCTGAGCCCGGCTCTGGCCAGGCAGGGCAGGGTATAAATTATTATTATTATTATTATTATTATTATTATTATTATTATTATGTCACCCTAGCAACTTGGCCCTGTGAGTTGTTGTCAGGAGATGCAAATGAGGAGCAATGCAGATCAATTACCGCCTCCTTGCACTGCCAAGACTGCTGATCAGAAGGCAGAACCACTGGCTCAATGAGTCAGGTGACACTAGATAACCAATCAGCTGCTGATGGTTAATATAAAGCCTCCAGAATTGATACTTTCCCTCAATCTAGGTAACCTGCCATTGAGGGAAATGATCAGATTCTTCCACTGGACTACTGTCTGCATGAATCTGCCTGCTGGGCCTGTGCTACCATTAGGCAGAGTGAGGCAGCTGTCTCAGGTGGCTAGTGCTATGGGGAAGACCCCACCACCACAGAGGCGGAGTGTATGCTACAGCCGCCCGGGATGGGCATGTGGGGAAGGCCCTCAAGGGAGGCGTGGTGTGGAGAAGCCTTGGCAGCTTCCTTGCGTGCCATAGCCCCGCCAAGGAGAGCGGGCGGCACTATTCCCTCCCCCTTTGCTTGGCACACAAGGGCCTCTAACGCATCGCTTTGCCCAAGCCACAACTGGCTCAGTGCTCCTTACCTTGAGTTTGCGTACTGTGGGAAATTGTGGTAAAAGCTGAAATTGTGCTGTCGGAAGACGTCAGTCAAGGTCTTGTGGAATCTGTCTCGTTTGCTCCTCAAGTAGTTCAAAAGGTCTCCATAGCAACAGTATTCAAAAATCAAGTAAACTGGTCCTGGAAAGTTTAAAACAAACAAACAAACTAACATCTGTTACTCAGATACCAGATAGCAAACAGTGAAAAAGGAAGCAACTGGGAGCAGCCACTGGGGCCACATAACACTAGTCCTAAAAAAAATCTACATTGGCTCCCAGTACATTTCCGAGCACAATTCAAAGTGTTGGTGTTGAGCTTTCAAGCCCTAAACAACCTTGGCCCAGTATACCCGAAGGAGCGTCTCCACCCCCATTGTTCAGCCCGGACACTGAGATCCAGCTCCAAGGGCCTTCCCTCATTGGGAGAAGTGAATTATTAATGTTTGGTGTTTGTTGTTGTTGTTGCTGCTGCTGGTGGTATTTTTTCTGTATTTTGTTGGAAGCTGCCCAGAGTGGCTGGGGCAACCCAGTCAGATGAGTGGGGTATAAGAAATTAATAACTACTACTACTAATTCTCTTGGTACCGTAGTTCCAACAGAAAGGCCATTTGGGACATAGGTAAAGGTACCCCTGACCGTTAGGTCCAGTCGTGGACGATTCTGGGGTTGCGCACTCATCTTGCTCTATAGACCGAGTGAGCCGGCGTTTGTCTGCAGACGGCTTCCAGGTCATGTGGCCAGCGTGACTAAGCCACTTCTGGTGAACCAGAGCAGCTCACGGAAATGCCGTTTACCTTCCCACCGGAGTGGTACCTATTTATCTACTTGCACTTTGACGTGCTTTTGAACTGCTAGATGGGCAGGAGCTGGGACCAAACAACAGAAGCTCACCCCGTCACGGGGACTCGAACCACCAACCTTTCGATCAGCAAGCCCTAGGCTCTGTGGTTTAGACCACAGCGCCACCCGCGTCCCTCATTTGGGACATAGGAAGCTGCTTTCTACTAATCAGACTAAAGGTCTGCCCAGTAGTGTCTACTCTGACTGGCAGTGGCTCTCCAGGCTCTCAGACAGAGGGAAGTTTATCTCAACACCTGTTGCCTGATCCTCTTAACTGGAGATGCCAGAAACGGAACCTGAAACCTTCTGCAAGCAAAGCAGGTGCTCTGCCACTGAGCTATGGTCTCCAGAGTTCCACCAAAGACTCAGCAGATCCCCTAAATGTGAATTTTCATTCCATTGGACAGGAGCTACAGGCACAACAGGCCAATGCTAATTCTACACTTGGGTACTCAACCCAGGCAAAAAGAGGTCACATTGGAGGGTCCAGCATAAGTAGATGGCTTTGCCCACTGGCTGTTCAGCTCCTTACCTGATATGGTACAAGCTCCAAGCAGATTCACAATGTTTTCATGACTGCCAATGCGAGTCATCATCTTGAGTTCAGTCATTAGAGCGTCTTTTTCGGAAGAGCTGTATTTGTCTGTAAATGCAACAGCGCCAGAAGTGTAGTTATATTTGCCTATACTGGGAAGGGCGGTTAAGTCCATGCAATTTAAGGCTTTAGGAGCAGCCTCCTCCAACCTTCATGGATTTGGACTACAACTCCCACCACCCATCACCACTGGCCATGATAACTTGAGGACTGATGGGAGCTGTAGTCCAGCAATGCCTGGAAATCACCAGGTTGAGGGAAACGGCTTTAGATTCTCAATGTACAATGCTAAATCCTAAACTTTAGGCCACTGCATAGGTTGACTTTAGCTGTAGCAGCAGAGGCAGTAATTTGGTGTGGTAGTAGATGGAGATCAATCCAATGCATGGAGAGCAGAATGGGATGCCATTTCCTTCAGGAGCTCAGCCGTATGAGTGGTTACTTGAAAGTGAAGTCAATGGGGCCAGGGGAGGCTGGTGCCCACTGGGAGTGGTGGAGCAGAAGAACAGAGCAGCCAACAGGAAATGAAGCCCAAACCAATGGCTGGTGAAGTCAGAGCCAAGTCAGGGCAACCTGAATCTCCTCCCTGATGAGTTCTACAAAGGCAACACTGAGCCTAATGAGGAGTTGACAGCCAGCTGGTGACATCCCCAGGATTGGTTGGAAGTAAGGGGGGGCTGGCTGATGGCAGATTGCCCTTGGGGAGGCAATGCCCCATTCACCTTAATGGATCAACCTCCATGGGATGGGACTTACTTGCTGTTCATAGGAATAACGGTAAGGAACATTTCCCAGGAAAAGTACTTTAGCTGTGTGTAATTTAACTATGATTGAAATGCATGTCGTGTATGCAGCCATAATGGCCAACATAGGTCTGAAAAAAACACCCCTGTGGGACATGAAGTCAGATATCCAGGGACTTTTGCTTGATGTTCCGCAAATCAAAGCCCAAACATAATTCACATTTTAATGGTTTCTTTGCTTCGGTGCTGACGTCATCCTCAGAATCAACACCATGTTCTGAAAACTACAAGCAATTTAAACTTTGGACTAGGCGGCTCTTCAGACAGAGGACTCTTTCAAATAAAGGACTGTTCTCTGATACATGACCACCTACTCACAACTGTGACACGGCTGCATCACACATAATAGTCCTACAGCAAAGAGAGCACTAACCAGAGGGAAGACATGCCACCAGAAACCTTGGATTGCAATAGATCTCCCTCAAACAACAAAATGAGTGTGCACAAACTCGTAGGAGAAAAATCAGAGTCTGCAGATGTTTTGAAATGCTAATGGCTAGCTATGTATCTACCTCCACTGTCAGAGGCATCGTGCCTCTAGAATACCAGTTGCGGGGAATCATAAAAGGGGAGAGCGTTGTTGTGCTTGGGCCTTGCTTTTGGTCTTCTCAGATGCACCTGGTTTACCACTATGAGAACAGAATGCTGGATTAGATGGGCCTTTGGCTGGATCCAGTCTGGCTCTTCCTATGTTCTTAAGTGTGATGGCCTGGGACTCGGACTCAGAACCAGAGGAGTCTCAGTCTGCACCGGATCCTTTGCCTCAGGCATCACCTGAACCAAGTCTGGGGCCTGATCCTGAAGAGTCCCAGTCTGCACAGGTTCCCCTGCAACAAACCCCAGCTGGGCTGAGTCAGGGGCCTGAGCCTGGCCTGGCTCCAGATGTGGAGATTACTTCATTGCCTCCAGCTGGGCCATCACTTACAGCTGCTCCACTACCGGTTTGGTCAGGGGAGGCTGAGGCGGCCCCTGGGTCTAGTAACCCACCAATGTCTCCCAAGCTGCAGACACTAAGGTCTGAGAGAAGGAGAGACCTGAGTACTCGCAGGAGGAGTGCTCACCTCTGGGCGAAACAGGGAGGTGAGTCGCAGGGGGATCAGGACCGGCCGCTACCCCGACAAAGATCAAAGGCTGTCAGACCCCGCCCCAGGTTGTGGGAGCAACATTGCTGATTGCCAGATCCTGCCTGAGATCCTGTACCTGTCCTTGCCTGGTTTTCTGCCTCATGTCCTGCCTTGGCCCTGTCGGAATGACTCCTAGTGGAACCTTTGGATTCTGGACTGGACCTGGACCGCGTTTCTTGGATTACCCCTGGGACCAGCCCATTAAGCACAGTTGAGCACTCATGCAAGGGCTCACTACAAGGCAACAGGATTGGGCATCTTTCAGAGTCCGACTCAAGTGCTTTTCTCTCTGTGCCACCACAGCAAGTTGTCAGAAGAGGGAGCTGTTTGCCAGGGATCTGCTCCACTTGGGTGTCGCCAATGCAGCTGGGTCAGAAGTAGATCCTGCAGCTTGCTGACTCAGCAGTTGCCAGGCGATGCAAAGCAGGGCACCAACAGGAGTTTCACTTGACCTTTCTAAATCCCTAGATTCTGTTTCCTCAACCTGAGCAATTTGTCTGTACAGAGTAGATGGAACTGATGTCAAACCAAGCGACCAAATGACCCTTGTCACCTTGCCTCACCTCCTCACTGTGAATGGTGGTTGGGTTGGCTTGCTCTGCCTTGATCATGCTTCCAGACAAGCACCCCAGACACCGAATTGAAGATAGGCTCTCCCCCCACAAATAAAGAACAGGTTACAGCCTTTACAGCAGGAGTGTGAAATGTGTGGACCTCCACATGAGAGCCAGTGTGGTGTAGTGGTTAGAGTGCTAGGCTAGGACCTGGGAGAGCAGAGTTCAAATCCCCACTCAGCCAGCAAACTCATTGGGTGACCTTGGGCCCGTCACAAACCCTTAGTCTACCTTACTGGGTTGTCATGAGGATAAAATGGAGAGAGGGAGAATTTATATACACACACACATATGCAGTTGATGGGTATGTTTAACCTAGAAAAGAGGAGACTGAGAGGAGATATGATAGCCATCTTCAAATATCTCAAGGGCTGTCACATGGAGGAGGGAGCATGCTTGTTTTCTCCTGCTCTGGAGGGTAGGACTTGAACCAATGGCTTCAAGTTACAAGAAAGGAGATTTCAACTAAACATACGGAAAAACTTTCTGACAGTGAGAATTGTTAGACAGTGGAACCCTCGGGAGGTGGTGGACTCTCCTTCCTTGGAGGTTTTTAAGCAGAGGTTGGATGGCCATCTGTCCTTGATGCTGTAGCTGAGATTCCTGCACTGCAGGGGGTTGGGCGAATGACCCTTGGGGTCCCGCCCAACACTAAAATTCTACGATTCTATGACTCCAGCTCCCACCCTCTCCAGCAAACACAGCCAATAGTCAGGTATAAAGGAGTCCAAGGACATTTGGAGAGCCACAGATTCCTCATCCCTGCATTACAATATACATGGATAGACTACCTTTTAACATCTTGACTGCGACCTGGACAGACACTCCCGTTTCACTAATTCCATATGCTGTGGCATTCACCACCTTCCCAAATGCACCGGAACCAAGTTCTTGCCCTGCAAGAAAAAGGGAAATGAACATGTCCTCCTCATCTTGCAGTTTGGTGATGCGCTTGCTAATCTTAGGATGAGTGCCACCAAACTCACCAAATTCCAGATTTTCTCTGGGAAACTCCCACTTGAGCTCATACTCGACCTCGCTGAAATCCACGTAGATGTATTCGTTAGAGGAAGATCCAACCATCTGTATCATCTGCAGCTGGCTTTTGTACCTTGATTGCTTCAGGGAATGGGAAAAGAGGAATAGTGAAAAGGACATTCAAGGTAACAGAGCAAAGTGAAAAAGACAGACATTGGGTTCAGCTGTTACCTTCTTGTAGTTTTGGCAAATTAAGACACACAACACAGCAATGACCGAAAGGCAGAATCCAGCAGTTGCATATAATGCAACATTATCGGACAGGGGGTGTTCTCCTGTAATTTGAAGAGAGGTGGATTGTTAAGCACTTTATTGTATCGTCAAAGATAAAATGACTTTGCGCATGTGATGAAACATGGTCTTATCTACAAAAGCTCATGCCGCAATAGAGACGTTGGTCTTCAGGGTGCCACAGGACTCATTTCTGAAGTTACAAACTTTTAATATATTTTTACATACCATGGAATTTAGCATGGAACCCATGCTTTGCATTATAATGTGGCTCCCACAGAGCAAATAGAAGGATGTTGGAATTACAGATAGGTAGCCGTGTTGGTCTGCCATGGTCAAAACAAAAAAAATTCCTTCCAGTAGCACCTTAAAGACCAACTAAGTTAGTTCTTGGTATGAGCTTTCGTGTGCATGCATGTGCTACTGGAAGGAATTTTTTTTGTTTTAAGGATGTTGGAGTCATTCATAGAAACAAGCCAATAGCAACATTAAAACAAACCACCACACAATACCCATAAATGAGACAGATTAAAACCTGTTGTGCTTCCTTTTTTGGTGAGCACAGTATTATTCTTTAGAGGTCAGTGTGTCCCCAGCTGAAAAATCATTTATATTTAAATTTAAGAGATCAAGGTTTAAGTGAGTCCCACCCACTGCTTCCATGGTATCACTGAGAAGCCTTGGTCTAACCACTATCTTCTAGCCTCAGTTTCCCACTTGTAAAATGCAAACTGTGACTTGTCTTAGGGTTTACCATGAAGGCATAGCACAATAAGAAGATGGTGGGGAAACAAGATACAACTCAGAAACCCAAAGGTGGCGTTCCCGTGGTTCCAGCACATCATGGAATCAGAGGCAAAGGACTTGGGTCTTGAAAACTCAACTGAAGTTCAAAGTCAGGTTAGTAAAAATGCATAGTTTGTTCAAAGCTCCATGCGGGCAGATCTCTTTGGGACTCTAAAATCCAGCTGTTGCATATAAGCAATTCTTGCCAATTGCCTGAGAAAGTGCAAACCTCTCCCCTGTTCCACAACATGTCACAGATGTTATTGGGCTACAGTTCCCATCATCCATTCACCATTCTGGCTGAAGCCAATGAGAGTTGCAATTCAAAAACATCTGGAGGGTACCACATTGACTATTCCTCCTTACACAGACTGCCAAATCCATCTTTACAGGCACCTCCGTACAATACCTTTTTCAATTAAGCTTGTTTCACAGTCAAAGCCCACCGAATTGTTGGCACAGCACTCTACGTAAAATCTGTCTTCTACTTTCGATAGATCTAAAGTGCTGATTACAATCTGGGAACCAAAAGTATTTCCGTCATACGTATTGTTTGATATTCCACCTGCGATTTCTGTGCAACTGTGGGGAGAAGAGAGCCATTTACATCTTTCATTGTTTACCCGAGGCAAGGGCATCATCAGATGTGCGTGCTTCATATATCTTAATATTCTTTCAGTAGCTGTGTAGGAATGGAGAAGCTGATCACTTAGCTTTTTTAGCTCACAGATCATTTGTATTTAACAGATATGTTTAAATAAACATACTATGGGCTGGAACAAGGGTGGGAAACCATATATGATGTCAGGTATAGCACAGGTAAATGGGGAGCTTGGATGAAAGGGATCTTTGCTGGTGCCGCAAACAGAACTTCTTGCAGAATCTCAGCTGCTTTTAAAAATGCAGCCACTAACATCCAAGGAAAGGGGCATCAACATCTTTATTTACTTTGTTTTCTTGTCAGGACACTGTCTCCAGACCCAAGATGCTGCAGGCCTGCTCTCAGCGGCGCAAGAAATCTGAGTTGATGTCTTGTACATTTTTAAAACAGGTTTCCCTGCAAAAGATACAGCAAAACAGCACAGAGCACTTTAGAACAAGAATTCCTGAACTTCATCAGAGCAAGACTCCCTATACTTTGAGCCTCCCCATAAATACATGACCTGCAGGACACGGGTGGCGCTCTGGTCTAAACCACCAAGCTTCTTGGGCTTGCCGATCGTAAGGTTGGCAGTTTGAATCCGCACAACGGGGTGAGCTCCCATTGCTCTGTCCTAGCTTCTGCCAACCTAGCAGTTCAAAAGCATACCAGCACAAGTAGATAAATAGGTACCACAGCAGCAGGAAGGTGAACAGTGTTTCCATGTGCTCTGGCACTCGTCACCGTGTTCTGTGCACCAGAAGTGGTTTAGTCATGCTGACCACATGACCCAGAAAAGCTGTCTGCAGACAAACGCTGGCTCTCAGCCTGAAAGTGGAGATGAACTCCAAAATGGCCACCATGCTCTCATGATAAAAAAAATGGGAAGATTTTGTGTCCCAAATTTTGGCTTCAAAGTGTTGGAGGGTATGCGATGTAAGGCTACGGGTGAGGGTATCTCTCTCCTTGAGCCAGGCCTCTCTTGGGCTGCATACACAATGTACATTTAAAGCACAAGGCTTCCTCTGTAAATCTTGGGAACTGTAGTTGGTTAAGTATTCACATTTTTGCAGAGCAATTTCCCATAACGCAATGCACTTTTTGTTGTTGTTTTTCACACTTTAACCTGCATAATGCATTTTTGTACACACTACGTGGTTGGAGAATGGCATTGCAAAATTCAGAGAAAGTGCAAATTTCAGAGGATGGCTGTGTTTTTTCTTTCAGGAAGTGAGAATAAGGTGGGTTTAGCTTTAAATGCAAACTGAATTGCGTTTGTCTCCCAACCCTCACAAGAAGAAGAACAAACAAACAACAGCAGCATGGAAGCAAGCATCGAAGCAATCTGTTCTCTCCCTCCCTCTCTCTTTTAAACTCACTCTTCATGTAGAGTTTTAATGTCCTGCTCACAGACAAATCGTCATTTTCTGCGTAGAACACATATTCCCCTGGTTGGTCCTTATGGTCACAGAATTTTGAAGAGATGCTGTTTCACAAAGGAAGGAAGGAAGAGTCACCCAAGCATGTATCCATATGCATTTGCGATTTAAAAGGTGGTGGTTATTTTTAAACCAAACCAGGCAGCTATCAAAGAATGAGAGCCCAACATAGCATCGTGGCCAAGCTACATTGGTGCCCTCTTCCATGAATAGGAATGGTGCCCTCACCTTGAAGGCATTAGTTCTGGAAAGAGATTCATCAACTCAGTAGCAGACAGCATGGTAGGGCAGGGACGTTTACCTGACCTCCAAGCAGGTGAGTCACTGCTGCTTGTTGGAAGGAGAAGGAGGGGGGCACAGTGAATATGCATGAGTAGGAGCACTAGATTGGCTCTGTGGTACATTCGCACTGTGCTGCGCTCCCCACAACATTGTCCTTTCCCTTCTCCTCCCTGTAAGCAGCAACAACTCATCTGCCAGGAGGTCAGGTACAGTAGGTGACTCCACTCCACCATGCCACCAGCTACTGCCTCAACTAACAGAAGAAATTCCTTTGGAACCAGTGCCCATTCTACCAAGGTTAGGGGTTTTCTAGTACAGTAAGAACAACCACACAGTACTTCTGGGGCAAAGATAGGGCAGCGGACCCTGTGATCCTCAATATCTTGGTGGAGTCCAGCTCTCGCCAGCCCCAGCCAGCATAAGAACATACAAAGAAGCAGAGATAGGTCAACGATGAAACCAATGAAGCTTAAGCTTCAGGGCTCCTAATCCCAGAGAGGCCCCAGAGGTGACTTTAGTCTACATTGCTTAAAAATGATGGGTCTAGTAGCCCCAATTTGCGTTGCCCGACTCAAATTGAATATTTTTTTGTTGTCTATATTTTAACAACCCCAAAGTTTGAGAGTCAGTAGCACAGATGTTAGGATGTGGTGATCTGCCATGGAGGAAGATAACAGTGGTTACCCTGACCTTGTTGCTGGTTGTGAAGGGGGACCCATGACCGTCCAAGCTTCAGGACCCCATAAATGTAGGTCCGCCACTGCAAAGAGCCCTGTAAGATCAGGCCCAAGGCTCACCTGGTCCAGCCTCTTGTTCTTAGAGGGTGGTCCAATAGTCAGGGTTCCAACAACATATAGGGAGATCTGTGTTCCGCAGCAACGGCAGCGGCAATGTCACATATTGAAAGCCCTTTGAAAGTGCCCTTACCAGATGCCTTTCTCTGCCATGGAGAGAGCTCTGAAAAGCTGGTTCTGCAACCTTTGTGCATGATTCCGTTTGAAGCAAGGGAAAGCTGGCTTTGGAAGGTGCCTGCCAGAGATCACCTCCCTATCACAGCCACGATTCCCAGGGAAGAATGGCTGTATACATAATTGTATACCTGCTACTTCAAAAATAGTGTTTAAGCACACAACAGTACCAGAGGAATCTGTTCCTCTCAACTCTGGAAAAGAAATCTGGCTGTGGAAGGGCTGCCTTGGACTGATGGGCAAAAATAAGACTGCAAAGCATCCTTTAGAACGGCAACATTTAAAAACATTCCGCACAAATAACATTTATGCGCTGAGTAATGGGGAAACCCCTCCTTCAGCTACTCAGTGTATCCTGCAAAAGTATTATTCATTTCTGTAATGGACCAGAAATAAATCTAAGTATGTTACAGACATCCTGGAAAACAACAACAAACAGGGAGAAAAGTCCCTCTGTTGCTGGTGGTGAGTGATGCTCAAGGACCAATGTGGCAGTGTTTATGTTTTCTTGTCCGGCAACTTTGGGCACTGCTACAGAATCTCACCCTGCGTCATATTTTATAAATAGCTGTTTTGTACTTCACAGAGGAAGAGAAAGAAGACATATAATACTACTCAGTTTCAAGGCAGAACAGACAGAACCCAAATACAGATACCTTAACATGTTAGTTAATTGTATTAAATATTTCAAAAATGGTACTTAACAAATGTTGCCAGTCATTTAGGAACATAGGAAGCTGTCTTATACCAAGTCAGATCACTGCTCCAATTAGCTCAGTACTGTCTACACAAACTGGCAGCAGCTCTGCTGGGTTTCAAGCAGGGAGTCTTTGGGAAACGGATCTCAGTGACTCATGATTTTCATCTTACATAAGACACCAATATGGCAACCTCCAAATTCCTCTCCCCTCTCACCCACCCACCCACTAGTCTCAAAACTCTCCCACCCACCCTCTTTCCTTGCAGTTCAAAATAAAAGTGGCTGATTGAAGCAAGCTCCTTTTTAAAAATAGAAAAGTGTGACTGACGGAAGGCAACTTTGCCCTCCCCTGTGCCCTGCAGATGTTTCAGACTACAAAACTCCTCATCCCCAGCCAGTATAGGATGGTGGCAGTTGTCGTCCAACATCTGGAGGTTGCGGAAGGCTGATGTGACATATAATTGGGCTCTGATGTAACAAATGGCTAGTACAGTGGTACCTCAGGTTACATACGCTTCAGGTTACAGACTCCGCTAACCCAGAAATAGTGCTTCAGGTTAAGAACTTTGCTTCAGGATAAGAACAGAAATTGGGCTCCGGCGACACGGCGGCAGCAGGAGGCCCCATTAGCTAAAGTGGTGCTTCAGGTTAAGAACAGTTTCAGGTGAAGAATGGACCTCCAGAACGAATTAAGTACTTAACCTGAGGCACCACTGTATACATAAAAGGGTAATAAAATGTAGGGAATCAAGTAGCATTTATACATGAATTTCAGTTTCATGAGACCGATTCAGTGCAGGAGTTTCAGCCAGCCTGCTTGAAAATAAAGGGAGGCTTGCAATAGACATTGATACGTTTTTGGTTTAATTCTGGGGAAGTGAAAGTGAGCCGAGAGATACCTTCTATTTTACAAAGAGGGAACAGAAAAACCAAAGGGCACTAAGAACATTTTCTGGAAAAGCTTAGAGGAAGTTGTAGGTGGATGGGAGTCATTGTGGTGTGGCTTGAAATCAAAAGCCCAAAAAGAGAGTGCTGTGTGGAAATTTACTTTCCATTTGGCTTCAGGCAGAGCAGAGAACTGGAGAGGGAGAGCAACTATTGATCTGCTTGGCTTCTCTCCTCCCTTCCTAGCCACCTTTCTCCCTAGGAGGGAAAACATATAGGTCCTCTTTTATCCATTGGGAAGAACTGCAATGGGCAACTGAGTAGGGAAATGGCTTCTCTCCCCCATCCCAGAAGATCTGTGCTCGTAGGGCTCAGAAAATTTGCTTTGCATAGATTCAATCCTTGGCATCTCCAGGGAGGGCTAGGAGAAGACCTCCTTCCTGAAACCCTATAGGGATTTGGCCAATCATTGTAGACCATGGGCTCTCAAACTGTGGTCTGTGAACCACCAGTAGTTTGCGAGCTTCACACAGGTGGTCTGTGCTGTGCCTATGGATTTATGGTTGAAGATGGGAGACAGAGCAACCATCACAGTGAATATCCGTATTGTTCTTTGAATAGTATTTAGGAAGCTACCCTATACTGAATCAGACCATTGGACCACCGAGCTCAGCACTGTCTGCACTGACTTTCAGCAGCTCTCCAGGGTTTCAGACAGGGCCCAACAGGTAGCCCTACCTGGACCAGGACCTTTCTGCATCCAAAGAAGATGCTCTGCCATGGATTTACACACATTAGTCACAGCTTTGGATCCAGTACAGAGCAGGCACAGCCTTTGTTACAAATCTTTAGGTGCCAGGCAAAAGCGTTTCTCTATAACGAGACCTTCGGCTGGTTAATATTCAACGGTCTTTTAAATGTGCTTGTGGGAGGGGCTGGGTTATTGATTTGTTTTTGTTTTATTATGTATTTTGTGTTCTCATTTTGTATTTTTATGTTGTGAACTGGCCTGTGATCTTTGGAAGAAGGGTGGTAATAATAATAATAATAATAATAATAATAATAATAATAATAATAAGCATCTCCTCATGGTTGCCTCAAAGTAGCAATCAATGGATGTGTGCTCTTGCAAGTACACAAAATGGGTCAACTGATTTTTGGGCAGGTGGGGTGGGGGTACTAAAGCAAGATATATCCAGCTTGAGACTAGAATAATGAAAAGATCCTCTCATCCCTTATATGGCCAATTGATCACTGCAAGACTGAAGGCCTCCTGCAGACACCACTGATGGTGGTTATATATGTCCTGAGTTTTCTGCTGCATTGACTCTGAAGAAACGAAGAAATACAATGTGCAACATGAGATGGTGAGCAGAGCATGGGGGGGGGGTTGCAGTGCATTTTTGTCTAAAATAAGAACCATTAAGGGTCGTTTTCAATCACCTTTTTATCTAACCAGAGATTGTGGCAATACAAAACACGGGAAACAAATACACAGAACGATTCTAAACCTGTTGACTCAGAAGGGTGCAGAAAATAGTGGCTGCAAGTCTTTACACACAACAGAAGCACATTCAAAGAAAGTTAATTACCTGTAAACATCTGTGTAAGTCTGTATACAAGGAAATGACATTTGGGAAGACATCCATATACATCTAATTGATGGATATGCTATTAGTGTGACTTCAAGGCACAACTTTTCTGCCACATCAGCTTCAAAATCTTCCTTTGCGTTGGTGAAATTGATAAAACCCTTATCTGTTGAAAGATATATCAAAATGATGTTGTGATATTTTTATTTAAAATGAAAACGTTTTCAGAAATAATTTATTACCCTGCATTTCCCTTCCGCAAAGGAGTTGCTCAAAGCAGCTTACAAATAAAAAAAGGAAGCTAAAAGCAACAATAATCCGATCCTCAAAATACAAATCAACAAAGCAAAAAATTCAGAAAAAAAGCCAAAACCCAAAGACTGACAGTAGCTATGAATGCATGCAGCAGGAACAGAATCAAAAGCTTGTTTTAAAAGGATGGCTTTCAATTACCAACAGAAAAGGAATGAAGAGGAAGATAACCTGAATTACTGGGGCATATGCAGGGCCCCACCAGAGAAGTCACATCTACACCATACATTTAAAGCATACTTAAGGGACACGGGTGGGGCTGTCGGTTAAACCACAGAGCCTAGGGCTTGCCGATCAGAAGGTCGGCGGTTCGAATCCCCACGACGGGGTGAGCTCCCGTTGCTCAGTCCCAGCTCCTGCCAACCTAGCAGTTCGAAAGCACGTCAAAGTGCAAGTAGATAAATAGGTACCGCTCTGGCGGGAAGGTAAACGGCATTTGTGTGTGCTGCTCTGGTTTGCCAGAAGTGGCTTAGTCATGCTGGCCACATGAAGCTGTATGCCGGCTCCCTCGGCCAATAAAGCGAGATGAGCGCCGCAACCCCAGAGTCAGCCACGATTGGACCTAATGGTTAGGGGTCCCTTTACCTTTACCCTTTACCTTTACTACCACCAAAGAATCCTGGGAACCATAGTTTGTTGTGGGTGCTGGGAACTGTAGCACTGTTGGGGTAACATATACTTCCCAGGGTTCTTTGGGGCAAACCATGTGCGTTAAGTGTATGGCATGGGTGTGGTCAGCAAAAGCCCTCTCATGTTTTGCCACCAATCTTGCTTCAAATTGAAAAGGCACAGGTAAGAGGGGAGCAAAAGGCAATCTCATCAGATGGGCAGATTCACATAAGAAGAGAGAGTCCTTCACACACCCTGACCCTTGACATTGCTTTAAATGTCAAAATTCACCTTTTTTGTGGGGGGGGGGGAATCTGTTAATTTTCCTTTCTGTCAGTTTCAGTTCTTGACATTTCCTTATCAGTTATTTAATGAATTTCTCCTAACATGCACATTTGCATGCATTTTCGCAAAGCATATCCCCGCCCCCAGGATAATGCATTTTGGTCCATCATTGTCCAGATTACATGCGTTTCTAGGCACACTTTGCCCCAGTGTATGCATTTTTGTACATATTACTTGGCTAGAGAACTGGATCGCAAGATTTGCAGAAGTGTGATTTTTTGAAGGGTGACTGGGTTTTGGTTCTCATTTTGTTCCAGAAAGTGAGAATCGGGTAGATTCACCTTTAAATGTGAACTGTATCGAATTCTGCCCCTCCCTCCGCACCCTTAGCCTTGATGCACAATAATTTTCACCCTAACCTGAGAAGCAACAAATACTTGATAGGTCGCAAGATAGGTGCTTAATTCCTCAACAGAATATTAATTCAGTGCCAAGCACACTTGCTCTGTCAGAGCAACACAGTTCCTTCTTAGAGGACTTGAAATCAGACAAGTATTGCTAAGGCATTAAAATATTCTCAGCTAATCTGCACCAGCAAATATTATTCATTGATGCTATTTAACTCTCTGCGGCTGAAATTCTTGTGCTGATTTTTTAATGCTGGGATTTTTATATGAGATTTTTTAAAATTTTAATATTGTATTATTTGCATGCTAGCCAGATAACACTCTTATTGGGTGACATATAAATGCCATTAACACATAAAATAAAAACAAAATATCCTGGACAATGCATCATTCTCATGTTGTAAATTCCATCATAGGAAATGCAGTGAAACAGGCACACGTGAAACAGGCGCAAAGGGTGTGGAAGCTGCTATGTGTGTATCTGTGCATTTATTTTATAAACCATCTAAGGCTGCAATAGTAACCTCACCCTGGAGTAAGCCCCATTAAATTCAATGGGATGTAGACATGGTTCAACAGGTAGCAGCTTTCTATGTCCCTGTGCAAACATTTTATATGACAGATGACTTACCTAAAACTGTAACCAAAGCACTCTTATTTGCAGCAAGTTCTTTGGACGAGCAGTTAAAATGTCTGTGACTCTGTGTTTCCATTGGGAAAACAAATGCATATTGCGTCTTAACCCTCTTGGAGTTCAAATTCTTCCTTCCTTCGAGTGACAAGCCCTATTTTTTTAAAAAAATAAAAGTTAGTATTTAAGAGATGGTGACATTCATTTGTGGTGTGGAGCTGTGCAAAGCTTCAGAACTACTGAAATCAATAGGAATTTAGCGAGTCACAACTAATGTAGGTCTCATAAGCTTTTCAGTGGGTTGAATCAAAAGTCTGGCTCCAACTCAGTATTTTAAAAACTATATTACGACATTAATATGGTGCTTCTTTCAGAACCAGAGTTAGGCAAGAGTCTTCAAAATGCCATTAGCAAGCAGGTATTTTGGTAAGAGGCACTGGGAAGTGCTAGAAGTGTGGGAACTCTCCCTGACTGTGGTCCTGTACCTTTGAGACACTTGGAAAGCAGTAAGATTTCTGAACAGCTACACAGGTACAAGAGATACACAGGGGATTTTAAAGTTAGTATTTTTAATATAAGGCTACAGTAAGTGCTGACAGGAAAATGGGTTCCTCTTGGTACCTGAATCAATTGCTTGCTTTCAGAATACCACTTCATTCCAAAGTTATAATCACCAGATATACCACGACATCTTAAAAGCAATGGCTCTCTTGTTTTAAGAAAGAATTCCTGCATAGAGCTTCCTGGTGCACTTAGATCTGAAATATAAAAATAATTCCAATAAAATAACAATACCAGCAAATAATAATAATAATAATAATAATAGTTACTACTACTACTACTACTATCCCTTTCCACTTACCAAATTAGTGCTTAGGGTGGCTAACATCATTCAAAATGCAATAAAATGATCAACAATTAAATGCTAATGTGAAGCAGCAACAGAGCAGATAATTAAAACAGAGTCAGCTTAGAATGCCAAAATCAATGGAAAACGCACCTTCTGGCCCTAGTAAAACACTAATAGAATTTTGAATGAACACAAATGCAACCTCAGAACTAAACACAGCAAGTGTTAGACACACACCTCCATCAACTAGTTTCCAAATCCCAAAGTCATCCTAAGTGCACACTTACACACACACACTTGGATCCAAGCTGAAGGCAAGTCTCAGGCTGCTTTTGCTGAAGGCAAAGGCAGTGGAAAGTTGAATAGGTTCTAGTGCTTTGCCTTGGTCTGGTGTAGATGCCTAGTTGGTAGAGCATGAGGCTCTTAATCTCAGGGTTGTGGGTTAAAGCCCCACATTGGGCATTGCAGCCCAGCATGGCAGCAGGGTTGGACTTCATGACCCTCAGGGTCCCTTCCAACTCTACAATTCTATGATTCTATGGAAATAAAATCTGCAGTCCCCAGGGAGGGGCAGAAGAAGGTCTTCATGAGAGTATGGAGGGCTGGTTGATGATGATTTTTTTTTATCAGTCATCAATGTAAATAATACATTATAAGATTCCAGGAAGGAAGGAAGGAAGGAAGGAAGGAAGGAAGGAAGGAAGGAAGGAAGGAAGGAAGGAAGGAAGCTAACCATTCTAGAGTGCTTAGTGTCAATACTTAGACTATAAGTGACTTGGAGGAGGAGGAACCATTTTAAATTATTGCAAATATCAGGGCTCCTTTCCCCTCCAACTCATAGTGTCCTGAAGAAGTGTGCCAAAACATTTAAATAAATACAGTGGTACCTCGGGTTAAGAACTTAATTTGTTCTGGAGGTCCATTCTAAACCTGAAACTGTTCTTAACACTTTCGCTAATGGGGCCTCCCGCTGCCACTGTGCGATTTCTGCTCTCACCCTGAAGCAAAGTTCTTAACCCGAGGTTATATTTCTGGATTAGAGGAGTCTGTAACCTGAAACATCTGTAACCTGAAGCATCTGTAACCCAAGGTACCACTGTAAACTCTTTTGCTTGAACACTTTAAGTAAAAGAGATCTTGCACATGTTTTATTGGCACAGAACATAAACACAAACCATTCAACAAAAAACATGACATTATTTTTCACAGTTCACATAGAAATACGGGCTGGACTGAACCAGGGACCTTCCCCGTGCAAATAATCTTCTCTTCTTGCCCTTCCCCAATTGAAGAGAAACAATGCCAGGCAACACTTTGCACCAGTAAGGCTGCAATTTCACCCTATCAATTGGCAGCGTCACGTTTTATGCCCGTCAAAATCCGTGACTGGAATGGAAGTATAAAAGCAGATTTGGGTGGTGTGTTGGCTATGCTTCGCAAAACCAAGAACTGAGAATCTTATGGGGGTGAGAGATCGAATCAATTTAACAAGAAAGGATCGCAATTGAACCACAATGATCCTTAGACTGCCCAAACTTGTCCATGATTATATTTCTGCAGGCATTTTTCTTCCACTGACAGATAACAAAAAGAGAAACCCTGTGCAGCAGGGATGGCAAACCTGTGGCCTTCTAGATGTTGCTGGTCTCCAGCATCCCACCATTCTTGATCCCTGACCACACTGAATGGGGTTGAGGGGAGTCAGAGTTCAACAGCAGGTTTCCCATCCCTTCTGTTCATAAGGAAATATTGATGGCAAACCCTCCACCAACCTGTCTAATGAAACATTCCCTCTGCTATGCAAGTGTATGGAAGTGGTGCTGTTAAAGAAGTGGTACTGTTAAAGAAGTGGTACTGTTAGCATGAATAAAGGGGCTAAAGAGTCCAAACCCATAAATACATTTGTATCTTTACCTATTGTATAGAGTTCGGAGCAGACTTTTCCAAACTCATTAACTGCACAACACCACACATGTTGTCGAAAGAGCAATTCGTTGTCTCGTAATTTCAGCTGGGCCTGTTGTCTTCCATCCATGTCTTCACTTTGGGCAGTCTTAGAACTTCTGCAGCTATAAAACAGAATGACAAAAGGCCACGTGTTCAAAGCCAATAACACTGCTGTCGTTATGACTCAAGAATGTCTCAAGAGGACTCCAAATACAGGCTCCTGCTGGCCCAAACTGTAAAAGCCTCCTGTGAAATCTGGAGCAGGTCTTTGGCATTTTGGTGCAGAATGAGATTCTAAGAGAAGGGTGGTTCAAAACAGGATTCTGAATTTTTCTTCGATCTGTATGCTGCTCACATTTTAGAAGTAGTGAGGCACTTGCTAAAACATTGGTTCCTCTCACTACATATACATATTTGATTTCAGAATGGGGTTTTGCGGGGGAGGGGAGGAAAGGGGGCAAGAAGCTTGCAACTTCAGTGGCTGGACATGAAATTGTACAGAACAAAAGGAGAATCAGATTACTGTATTTTCCCTTTTATACAGTCTATCAATCGTGCATGTTTGTGGTGCGTATGCAGTCTTATCTCAGTAGGAAGATGTCCATTCTGAATGTAGAGTTGAAAGCAAAAGAAAAGAAACCATGACAGGTTGGTAGCAAAACAGGTGACCTACCTTTCATCAGGGGTCTTGCAAGAAAACCATTCAAAATTTGGTTTAGGATATCCTTCTGATAGGCAGCTTACAGTAACTTCTCGCTGCTTATTTAGTATAAAATATGGCTTTCTTGGGCTTTCTATTGAAAATAATGCAAGAATTCCTTATCATTTATTTATTCATGGAACTATTTTACTTTTATTATTTATAGTCAATCAATCAATCAATCAATCAATTAATTGTTCATTTATCAGAGCACTAGCAGCCTTGTACCCAGTGTTGGTCAGGAACTCTAAGAAGTCCCCCCCCAAAAAAAAAAACCCAGTGCAGTTTTTATATCAATGGTTGAAATCAATGCAGTTTGGAATGGTTCAGCCCACCATCTTGTCTCAAAATGGCACCTAGTTATATACAAACTTAGACCGTGATCTCAAGAACCGTGATGGAAAATTTGGTCTTGATGCCTTAAGATTTATCCAAATGCAGAACAAACAAACAAACACATTTCACAAGGGAGAGAGAGAGAGAGAGAAAGTGCATTGTTCGTCGATATTTACAAAGCTCTATCAACCAAATTCACATGAGTAATGTTTCTGCACCGGCTGTATACTGAGATGCTGAAGTTATTTAGCTGTTTTCACAAAAGGGCTAGACATTTTGTTCATGTAAAGGGTTCTATTTTGTCTCTCTCTAGTCAGATCCTCCTCTTCCTCCTCCTCTCCACAGCAAGACACCCTTTCCCGCAGGTAGGGGCTTGGACTCAGAGGCAGAGAGGCTGTGCCTCCGCATCTGAGCCCCACATCGAAAAGGGTGCCTCACTTGCTGGCTGCGGAAGGTAGAGCTCAACTGCTTTTCTCTCAGAGGCAGTGCTGCTGTCGCCTGCTGGCTTTTCTCATTGACTTTGTGGGTGCCCAGCCCACACAATTTTATTGTTGTGGGTTCCCAAGCACACATGGCCCCCAAGAGTTGGCTCCTATGATTCCCAGCAACCCTTAACAAACTACCATTCCCAGAATTCTTGGGGGGAAACCATGGCTATTAAAGTGGTATAAGAGTGTTTTAAATTCATGTTGTTTATGTAACTCCTCTCTCGCATTTTCTACTCCTCTTCTCCAACAAAGAGACAAACATCTCTTTGTAAAAGAAATTATAGAGAGGATTGTAGTAGCTTCACAGTCCCCTATATTTTTGAGCCATTTTCCCTTTAAAAGCTGTTGGAAATTCTGAAGAAAATTTTCACATAAGAGATAATAATAATAATAATAATAATAATAATAATAATAATAATAATAATAATAAATTATTATTTATACCCCGCCCATCTGACTGGGTCTCCCCAGCCACTCTGGGTGGCTTCCAACCAAATATCAAAAATAATACAGTCAGACATTAAATACTTCCCTAAACAGGGCCGCCTTCAGGTGTCTTTTAAAAGTAAAATAGTTGTTTATTGCCTTGACTATTCCTTACACCTAGTTTCAATCCCACTTCAACCCCACCCTCAGCAAAACAGGGAATTGTCTTCCCTGCATTTCTTTTTAAATATGAAGAGCAAATGTTGATCAATACTCTTAAACTTCCCATCTGCTCAAAGCAGGAAGCTTAGAAGAGTCACAACACATCAGGTTGATACTTAAGGGGGAATAAATAAAAATCCAGCCACCATTGAAAAATGTAATTGACCCTGAGCAGCTCAGAGCTTTTTCCTGAGAGGGATGATGTACCCTTGCTTGAAATGAAATGAGTGACGTGGGAAAAATAGCACACAATACCAGAACTGAAAGAGGGAGGGGAAAATATTCAAATAAGGAGTGGGAAAATCCCTGCAGGGGGAAGAATCCAACATGTTTTGCTGTTTCAAAGTTAGGCATACATCATACATGGACCCGTTCCTGCCCTATCATCCTTCATCAAGTTGTGATCAAGCCATTCCTTTGTCTCCATGTCATACTTACTTTTTATATGAATTGTAAATGTCACCCTGTAATTATCAGTTTTTGTTTTAATGGACAGCGTGTGGTTTCCAGCCTGGGTTTCTCTAATTTTTGGAAACTTCTTTGAAACAACATGCCTATACGATAGGGGGAAAGCATCCATTAAAAAAACAAAAAAACAACTTCATGTGAAAGTAAAAGGAAGCAGAACAAATTGACAACAAAAACAACAGCAAGCAAGCAAGCAAGCAAGCAAGCAAGCAAGCAAGCAGGCAAGCAGGCAAGCAACCAGACTAAACCATCATACGAATCATTCTGTGGAGAAAGGCCTTAGCCAAATTGGGAAAGGGCCATAGCTCAATGGTAGAAAGTCTGCTTTGCATGCAGAAGGTCTCAGGTTCAAGGCTTCTTCGGAGGTTTATCAAAGTACTTATTGCACCGGGATCCTTTTAAATTCCCCTGCAACTCAAATATGTGATGGCTGTTGTCTCATCGCAAGAGAGACCATATGTCTAGATTCAGTAACTATTGTTGAATATTGTAAACTGGACAGGCTGATGTGGCAGCTTCACTCTGAATGTGTGGTTGCAGGTGCCCACCCCACCTGTTGTTTCTGACTTCTAGCAAATAAGTGAAGAGTGCTAAACCACCCTTTCCTAAGAAAGAACCTCTGTCCAGAATGACAGAAGTGAACCTCTTTCAGTGGAATCTAAAGTGAGCGGGTGGCATTCAAATAAATTTTACTCAGAATTGAAAATTTTGATAGCGGCTAAGCTACATCCCTCCAGTTCAATGGGTATGCCCCGAGTAAAGTTTAGCTCTTTGTATTTAATTGAGGTGAATTTAATTGGTAGGTTTAAAGATTAAATTTGTGTGTCAAGTAGGGACATATAAGTATATGAGAAAACTGTGCACTCTGTGTAGTTGTGGCTTTTGACCCAGCTATTCCTTCTGCTGAAGAGGCAAGTCACTGCGAATTGCCTCTTCAGTAGTGAGAACAGTTAAGGCAAAAACTACAAGTAAAGCTCCAGCTGCTCATATAATCTTCCCCCAGATGCTCAGCACTTTTCTGAACCAGAGCAAATAATAGGAAATTCTATCACAATCATCACCCAGTGTATCTCTTTGCTTACCTGTTCTCCAAATCCAGAGAGGAATTACAGTTAGTCTGGTTCTCTTTAAAAAACCAAAGACAGGTGATGTTCTCTGAGATATTTACTATTGCTTTAATTTCAACATTTTCAAGCACACCAACTTCGAAATCTGTTGCTGCTTCATAGATATTCTCGCTGCTTTGATAATACAGGGAACAATTGCGGTCTTCTTGGGTCTGTATTGCATGAGATGGAAAGACATCTTTTACCACACTGGTCTTTTTAAAGATCTCTGCTTTATTTATTTCTTTTAAGGATTTATTCACCACTTTCAAACAAATGTTTCCGAAGCAATGTACACCATCACACGCACACACTGTATATAATGTATACATAGCAGTCTAGAAACTGATCTTAAAAGCATTTAATATAATGTATACATAGCAGTCTAGAAACTGATCTTAAAAGCATTTAACTACAGTGGTACCTCGGGTTAAGTACTTAATTCGTTCCGGAGGTCCATACTTAACCTAAAACTGTTCTTAACCTGAAGCACCACTTTAGCTAATGGGGCCTCCTGCTGCCGCTGCACCGCCGGAGCCCAATTTCTGTTCTTATCCTGAAGCAAAGTTCTTAACCTGAGGCACTATTTCTGGGTTAGCGGAGTGTGTAACCTGAAGCGTATGTAACCCGAGGTACCACTGTATAATATTTCAAATATAGAAGAGTCACTCTTCAGGGAAAGCCCTATTAGAAACATACATTAGGAAAAGAGCCAATTGCTAGGCCTTAGATAAAGTTCATTAAGAAGCTGATTCCATAGAGCTGGTTCTTCAGATACTGATGGGCTCATAGATGCTAAGGATCTCTTGGCTGGCTGGCTGATTGATTGATTGATTGATTGATTGATTGATTTGACATTTCATTCCTAGCTCCTGCACAGAATGCCTCCCTGAGTTTCACCTGCCTAAGTGTAAAGAACAAACACAGGTGAACATTGTTTTCTAATAGCATTAGATATTAAGAGCTACCCACCTAAGTGGGTAAGAGCCAACAACGGAGTACACACTTTGCATGCAGGTTGCAGGTTCTGTCCTGGCATTTTCAGTTAAAACTGGGATGGGGAACCTGTGGCCCTCCAGATATTTCTGGATGGCAGCTCCCAATATCCTGGACCATTGAGCCATGTTGACTGGGGCTGATGGGAGTTGGGAGTCTAGCAACATATATCCAGATATGTAGACATTACCATGTGTTTTATTCTGTTTTTAGGTTACTGCTGGTCTTACGTAGCTTTGAATATTTAAAATACCTGCTTTGATGTGCCTTTGGTAATTACAATGGTTTTCTTTTATTTTTGTAAACCATGATGAAGTTTTATTATATGAAATAAAATAATGAAATATGAAGGGCCAGATTCCTCAAACCTAAATTAGAAGAATATTGTATGTTTCTAACACAGCATACATTTAAAACACATTTAAAGTTCAGCTGGCACCAAAAAACTAGTGAAGCGGGTACCACCTGAGCCTCTCTAGGGAAAGAATCCCACAACTGCAATCTATCTCCCTTCTGAAGTTGGTGGGATGGAGAGCAAGGTCATTGATGCTGGTCTTCACCGACCACACAGGTTCATATCCTTTTTACCTCATGAGAAGGTGAAGATTCCAATGATCCTGACATTATATTGTTTCGCTTGATTAAAAGGCATGTAATCTCTGGTGCACCCAGGCCAATCACAGCCGTGGATACCAGTGTAAGAATCAGAGCTGAAAGTAAAAAAAGGGAAATGGAGGCCATTGTTATGAGCAGGAAATTGAAGGTAATAGTACAAGGACAATACAATCAATAAAAGAACATCACAAAATGCAGAACCAGCACAAAGCATTCGCCAAAAGCATAAATACAATCCAGCATAAAATTAATAGAAAAAGCAACCTTAAAATAGCAAAGGTACAGCTATTAGTTCTGCTAATCCTGTTGCCCTCCATAAATTAGAGGGCTGACGAATGTCTGGAACAGGGAGCCTCTCCACTTGTCGAGTTCTCAGTACGATTTGGAACCCTGATCTTCCAGGTATCTAAACTGTCCCCTCTTCTAAGGTGAATTGGAACAGTCACTGCCTTATTCTACCGACTCCCTTGGAAGGTGGTGGGTTCTCCTTCACTGGAGGTTTTAAAACAGAGGTTGGATGGACATCTGCCAGGGATTCTTCAGCTGCAATTCCAGATGATCCTTGGGGTCCCTTCCAGCAATTCTACGGTTCTATTATTAATTTAGGTGCAGTTATATCCTGCCATTTTACAATGAGAATCACACACACACACACACACACACACACACACACACACCCTTAAATCAACATAAACAATCTTGTTTAAAAAGCTTAAAAGAGTAAAAGGTGGGGAAAGCGTAAAACAATTCAAGTGACCGTATTCTGTAAAGGTTCGCTGCCTGTTCCAATGTAACCTGCAATGGCATTGAGTCACTGGTACAAGATCAATGCAATATGACCTGATTAGTGTTGTGAACTGCCCTGTGATATTTGGGTGAAGGGTGGTATACAAATTTAATAAAGAAGGAGGAGGAGAAGGATAGGCTTGAAGGTGGTGTATTGGTTGGACGAGGACCGGGAATACCAGGATTCAACCCTCCCCTCAGTCATGAAACTCATTGGGTGACCTTATGCCAGTCACTACCTCTCTCTCTAACCTACCTCACAGGGTTGGTTTGAGTTAAAAGGGGGGGGCATGTACACCACATTGAACTCCTGAGACTGAAAGGAGGTATAGATGTAATAAATAAATAGTTAATGTTTCCCAGAAAATGAAAATAAAGTCGTGACTACTTTGTACTCAGTTTGAGGTACGGTATATTTATTTACCCGCACTACACTTACCTGTGGTTTAAAGCCACATCCTAATCCAAAGGATAAAAATGACACATAAGGAACATGGAAAAGTGAAGTAAAAACAAGGAACTAACCACAGATAAAGTGCTCTGCATTTGGCTTTGACCTACTCAAACGGGCTTACAGTTGTTCTGCTTATTTGAACCTAAAGCGTTTTTCTTCTAATGTCAGTCCTGCTCAGAGTAGACTGAAATTAATATACATGACTAATATTCCTATACCATTAAAGCATATCAAAGCAATTTACAACTTTAAAAGCATAAAAACTATACAATAAAAGCATTCTAAAAATAAAAAGCAAGTTTGCTGTTGTCATCGTCGTTTTAAGAATCAACAAACCATTGCGGAAGATGCACTCTTAATAATAATAAAAGTTTTCAGCAGTTGATTAAAAGTTGGCACAGAAAGCATTAATTTTGGTCCATTAATGTCACTCTGAGTATGATTTAGGTGACTACAACCCCAATAAAAGCTCATTCAAACAACCTGGGCCGTTTATAAATACTCTGCATTCTTGTCAGACCTTCCTGAGATAGCTGGGCAAGGCATAAGGACCACAACCGAAGCAACAACACAACAACAAAATAGTAATCTAATATAATGGAATGCTTTAAGAGTCAGCTCAATTGCCGGACCAGCCCTTTCATTAGGCTAAGTGAGCCGTCTACCTCAGGCGGTAGATGCTAAGCTATCATAAGTCCAGTAGCTCGTAGTCCTGGGCTGGAGGTTCAAGAGGCAATGCCTTCCTTTTCCACAGCATTAATGCTTTCCTAGTTGGGCACCTTCAAGCTTTGCTGCCCCCCTGACCCTCAAGCTGGGAAGTGCCTTTGCTCTGACCCCCTCAACCTTTCTGAGTGGTGGGTGGAAATTCATTTTTTAAATGAATGCATTCTGCACACAGCCACATCTTGCCCATATCCTCGCCCCCTTTTGTGAAACTCAAAAGTTTGGTTCTGCCTCGCTGTGAAACTCAGCTCCTTCTGTTCTCATTTATTCATGGTGATATTCTTCCTTTGCATCTGTTTGGAGCAGCTTTCCACACAAACCCTGCCTGCCTCTGACATCTTCTCCATGCTTTTAGGCGCCTCCTGTTTATAGTCGCCTCCACTTCCCCCGATGGCCCACCCACCCTGAGGCAAATTATGCCAGAAAACACAATGATGCCCATTGACCTCATGGTTGGTGCTGCAAACGCCATTTCCATTGTGCGCCAGAGCTATTGGGCAAAGCAGACTCCGTCTCTTAGCTGGCAGAAAGCCAGAGGGCTGGGAAGAGTTGTACACTGGAGGAGTGCAAGTGTGGGTGTATGATTTGTGTGTGGCTGAAGCGGCGCTAGTGTTGGATCTTAGTAGGAGAGAGTGGACTGATTAAAAGAAGAACGGCTGGGGATTAGGAATAATAAGAACACATAATCCAGAGGGAGGAAGGCAGCACAAACACAGAGGAAGGAAAACACAGAAACAGCTCTGTTTTAGCTCTTCAGCTTCCTTTTCCTATCTGTATTTTTTAATTATGATTTAATTATCTATAAAATGATAACAAGCCACCACTGAAATGAAACAAGACTTACAATGAAAATTAATTTTTATTTTATTTTAAAAAGAGGATTTTCTTGGGGTAGAGTGGGAGTCCCTAGTAGGGTTGGGAGAGAAATTTGATTCAGTTAGCATATAAAACTGGATTTATCCAATCTACACTTTCTGAGTGCTTTAGACTGCGAAGCTGATGCTAATTCTGACCTCTTTGAATCAAGCTGCTTTCACAAAATATGCAAAATATGCAGTTCAACCTATAATCAAACTCGCTTTGCATGGTTTCATCATGGAATTTGCTGCAGACATGAGAAGTGAAACACAGCAATCCTTCAAAATTTGCACTTACGTGAATTTTGCAATGCTGTTCTCCAACCAAACTATGTTTCCAAAAATACATATATTAGAGGAAAGTATGCATAAAGAGGAACGTAAATGTGTACATTAGTCAAAACCGCATAGATAAATGTGTTTATTAGGTAAAAGTCGCACTAAGGTGCTAATGTTCATGAGGATTTTTCATACACACAAGTTGCTGAGAAATGTGGAGAACCAAATTGGAAATTGGAAAAATGAGAAATGGAGAGAACCAAAACTGACAGACCCTTCCATCCCTAGACCCAAAACAAAACTACTGGGAAGACAGTATCTAAGGCAGGGATGGGGAACCTGTAGTCCTCCAGGTGTTGGACTTCAACTCCCAGCAGCCCCCACAAGCACAATCAATGGTCAGGACTGATGGGAGTTGCAGTTCAGCAATGCCTCTAGAGGGCTACCAGTTCCCCAAACCCTGGCTTAAGTACATTGGAAGGCATCTGGTTAGAAATAACAAAACAAAACAAAAGCAGAAATCTTTAAAAAGAGAAGATGACCACGAATCAGGAGAAGAAGTGTGCAGCTGCAAGTGGATAGTATGGAAATGATTGCAGACAAAACAAATAATAGCACTAAGAGGAATGAGATAAAGAGAGAAGATGACTTGAGGAGATCCTTGAGGAGCTTCAGATGGAAAGTGGCGTAGGGAGAAGGATTACCACTGACAGATAAAGAAAGTAGACAGTAAGGAAGACAAGAAACTAAGAAAGCATGTTGTCAGTCAACACCCAAGAACAGAATGATCAATGGTATTGAAAGATGTCACAGAAAAGGCTACCGGAAAATTGGTTCTGTGATCTACGAATGCACGAAACTATGCCGCATTCCCGGCACTGAGTCTTTGTTTCCAGTATGCAGGCTGCAGGTGTTGTACTGCCCTGGACAGAAATAAGGCTCATTTGGCAGAAAGATATATACAGCACCAAGTGCATTTTTCATTTTTGGTATGGCACACAATGATCTTTCAAACCGCAATTGCATGTTGGGGTGAAGTCGACGAGGCATTGATAAAGTTGTTATGAAGTTATTCTAGCAGCCAGAGGCAGGAATTTTTTTTAAAAAAAGGAGGCCCTGCCTTAGGTTATGAAGTGGCTGCAAAGTTTCAAGACTTTGATGCATGATTTCATTATGCCAGTTTTTAATTCTTCCATTCCTTCCCTGGTCTTGCTGTTGTCATGTGACCTGTAACTAAACCATGGTTTGCCTTAGGATTAAGTCCAAACTTGATCTCCAAACTACTAACAATGAGCAGTAGGCAAGGTTTGCTCTTGGCTGACTGCTTTTGGTTTTTTTGGAGGAGACAAACCACGAGCCTGGGTTCAGACACAACGCTAAGCCAAATCATGGCTTACTTATGGGTAGAGAAGTGGGAGCAAGGGGACGAGTGAAACCCCCATGCCTTTTGCTCTGAGCAACCAAATTCTTGCTCGTTTATTCTTAGTCATGGCTTGGCTTAGCATTCTGTGCAAAATGGGCAGCAGAATACAATGAGGAAAAGAATCTTGCAAGGGCAAACAGGTGTTTATTGTTGCCTCGACAACAGACTGAGAGATTTTCAATTGGCCATAGCTCCTGATCTAATCATATTTCCTATCTTATCTTAACTGTCTACTCTGAATGTGGAATAGTGCTGAACATAGCACTGTTCAATCCCTAGATAAATAAATCTAGGTCAAAGGTTATTCTGAAATTGTTAAGTAAGGTACCTGATGGTGATGTTCAAGCAAAAATTACATATTGGTTGTTTGATTCTGACAAATTCCTGACAGAGTTACGAGATTTGCAGTGGCAACCCAAAAGCTGAGGAGAAACGTTGTTGAGTCTAATATGGTAAATTGCAATGATTTAACACAAAAAAACTGGATGCTTTTAAATGTATTAGCCCTCTTAACCATTTGTATTTTAATATATATCTATTGTTTTATTCTTTTTTAACCTTTCGTAGATTGTA